TGAATATGCCTATCCCACTATATACTTTTTTATATTTAAACTAATATAAAATTTGTTTTTACAGTGTTTAAAGTACACCATAAAATCATCTGATCTACATTTGTGTAAACCCATTATTTACATATTAAGTATGCTTCCATATTCTTCACTAACTTGCACAATTAAATCCATACCATTTGGCATCTGCATTGCTTTTAATCAAATACAAATACATAGTACTTTCCTTTTAGAAGGATGGTCATCCAAAATACCCAGAAAATGTTTTATCTATTTTAGATTGTCAATTAAAAACAAGATATGAAAGATTCTCCTACAGAACTAGTCATCCCCAATAAAATGTACACATGTAAACAGATTCTAAGAAATGTTACTTTATTTTGTAATCTCATTTAAACACACACACTCACACACACATGCATACATACGGGCAATGCCATCACAAAAAGCAGAAGCCTGGGCAAACTTTTCAGATTGCTCCTGTTCCTCCAAAAGGATTTGAGACTTCTTCCACAGTGTTCCTTCAGAGTCTCTGGCCTTGCCCCACACTTCCCCAGGGCCTCTGGCTAGAGAAACAGGACTGAGATATGACCAGGGCCAGCAAGTTCCACTGGGATAGCTCTGTTTGCAGGAGCTCAGACACAATCAGATTGCTTGAAGTCCTCTAAAGTGATTTGGGACAAATGGCCCAGACATCTTCTCTTAACATTAAGAAATTTCCAAGTAGCTGGTCTAGCCCAGAAATTGATGGAATCAAATCAGAAGGTCATCACTGCTCTAGAGCCTAATAGCAATTACAGATTCATCTCCTTCAGAGATTTCCCTCAATTATTTTGACTATTCATCAGAAGGGGTAAGATTATGCCATGAAATTTTTAGAAATATAATTTTCCACCCATTCCCATTCATTGATAGAGCAAACAAGGACAAGCGAAAGTCCTTGAGAGAATACAAAACATATTGTTCATTTCCCCTACAGAAGAGATATGATTGGTATAGGAGCCATTTCAAAGTTTCCCCAATGCCACTGGGCCCTGATCTCCCAAAGCATAGTTCATCTTTGGTAAAGGTCTTTGTTGGCAACAGTTGGTTCTGATGCAGGAACTTGCTCTCTAGCTTGGTTTCTGTTTTTGCTCTGTAAAACAGTGTCACATCTCATAATATCCTTTGCCTAGGGTCTTTTTAGACAGAGCTACCAAATTAATTTTCTTTCACAACTATGGTCTTTTATAAGTTTCACATTTGGTGTGAGGCAGAAAAAAAAATGAAGCAAAATACTAGATGATCTAAAGTCCTAATTTATACCATTCTATCTTCTCTTAACCTAGTATCTTAGATTTACTTTGAAGGGAACTAGGTGTATGTACAAGTGACTTCCAAGTCTTCAACTGGTTTGTCCCAAAAAGAACTTGGGAAAATATGTACCTCCTTACACATTGACTACTAAAATGTATAAATAGTTGCAAATATGTAATTTCTGGCATATTATCCATTGTGTTATATGTGCTTTAAATATATCATTGTCAAAACCTTGGAACTTGGCTCATTCAGTTTATAGAAAATGGCCACTATATAACCTAACTGGACAGTCCTCATTATCAGAAAAGGTCTGGCTTCATTTGAATTCAAAGCAGTGAGTATATAAACATTCCTGTTACAACCTACTCTCTCTCCAATTCTAACATTGATAGAAGACAATCAGAGAAGGCAGAAGTTTGTTGTCTGGGTGAAATATGGTCCTGTCCCCTTAAAAATTTCTCTCTCTGGGGCTATGCATTCTGGATTTTTCCCTTTGTTTGGATTGTTCCCCAAAGATTTTTATACATTGGGGTAGTACACCAGAGTAAGAACCGGGTTGAATAAGGTAGCCTTTCTTTTGTAAAGAAGGAGAGGGGATTTGTGTAAAGAAGGAGAGGGGATTTGTGTAAAGAAGTCCTGAGGCATCCACTCTCTTCCCAGGAGAGTTTTTTGTGTGTGTGAGGAAGACTAGCTCTGAGCTAACATCCGTTGCCAATCCTCTTCTTTTTGCTGAGGAAGTTTTGCCCTGAGCTAACATCTGTGCCCATCTTCCTCTATTTTTTGTATGTGGAATGCCATCACAGCATGGCTTGATGGGTGGTGCATAGGTCCGAGCCCAGGATCCGAACCTGCGAACCCCAGGCCTCCGAAGCGGAGCGCTCAAACTTAACCACTATGCCACCAGGTCATCTCCTAGGAGAGATCATTTTAAACTCAGGGTGCATATGAAACTGAATATTTGCAAAATAATTCCCTAGACTAGACTACCATTTGAAAGTGAAGATTACTTGTCCTAGAGCATTTCAGCTACCTATGCTGAAGGCAGGATAACAAAAATATTTCCAAGTCAAAGCTTTCTAAAATTTCCATTTGAATTATAGAAGCCATTACATCTTAGTTCAAAGGAAAACAACCTGGGTTCTAAGATTATGTTAAATAGAAATGCTCCAGGGCATGAATTTTACAAGTTTTTCCTCTGATTTAAGAGTGAAAAAACAAGGTAATTCATCTCAAAATATTTATGCTTAAATTTACATACACACTCAATCACAGCAGAGTCATTTGATACATTCAGTTTCACTTAGAACAGCTAATATAATATATGCTGGATGTGATTAAATTTTGCATTTAGTTGCCAGTTAGTATTTCTCACAATTTGTTTTTAAAGTCACAGTTTTTGGTCACCAAGAACTGTCTCATCACAGTCTTAAAAGTAACACTGTCTTGTATTAAAAACTTCATTTTACAGTTTCAAATTATATTTAAAACTGCAAGTGTCTTAAAACAGATTCAGGAAAAAAAGTGAATAGAATACAAGCATCCAAAAGAAAAAAATATGAATTAAAAAAATTCAAAATCCTGACATGGACTCAACACAATTCTGCCAAATTAACAAATTCCTGTCTTTGTTATTTGAAATTTATTTTGGCATGATTTCTAAATACAGACCCTTTTTTTTTCACATTTTCAAAAGGACATAAGAGTCTGAAGTAACAGTGAAGTAAGAACTAACTTCTAAAGGAAGCTAGAGACCGTGTCCTTCAAAGTCTTTTATACTATACAGAAGTTTTGTTTGGTAGAATTCCACATTACAATCTAGAATATAATCTATAAACACTGTTTTCTACAGCAGCCCAAAGAAGACTCTCCAAATCAAAACCTAAATATACTATTTTATTAATATATGACTGATTTTCATCCCAGAGTTTGAAGCAGAAAGGTACTGGCTTCTTTAAAATAACACATATGGAGTTAGGGTTATGGTCATCCACATTACCCCTTTTGAATAGAAATGCTAGTACTAGCATCCACTTCACACCCAGTTCTTAGAGGCCAAGTTGGGAAAATTAGTCACAGAGAGGAAAACAGAAGAAAAAGTCATTTCTCCTTTTCTTGGAGAAAAAAAGAAGTATGAATGGAACTACTCAGAAATATTTAACATTATAATTAAATTCATAGTTTAACAGTTTTAAAGTTTATAGCTGTATGTAAAAATATATCACAGGTTTTGATGACTAAAGACCACATTTTATTTCAAAGTTCTACTGATCATCCTGCAAGTTTTCATCTCAAATTTGAGACCCTTAAATTTGTCTCCTTCTAGTTCTTCCTGTATACATAATTGTTCAACATTCCATGAATGAGTCTGAACATCACTATTACTGCTACATCTGAGCCCATTACTTTAAAGAAGGAATAAAGTTATTTTGTTTTTGTCAAGGACCTGTTAACCCACAAAAGACTAATAAACTGAGTATTGTTTGTCTAGCATAAACATTACTCACACTAAACACAGATAAATGGTTATTTCCAAAATTGTTTTAGAGGGCATTTTTGGACGCTAAAGCAGTATCAGAAAGGAAATTTTGTTACCTCAAAATACAATTATAGGTTAAATTTAAGAGTTTTTAAATGTTGACAATATAAGTCCTAGAATATATTGTCATTAAGATAAAAATCACTTCCTTTACAGTACTTACAGTAGTTTCAACAACCTATTTCACTTTCCTAAAAAAACAACAGCATCTGTTTTCTACATGACAACTACAAACATCAGCCTTGTGCAACCATAATAGAGGGAGGTACACACGTGCATTTCTAATCTGCAGAGCCAGCATCCCAAATCTGAGAGTCATCCACCTCTAAAGGGTTATTGCAACTGACACGACAAAGGCCTGCATCTTAGAGTGAGTCACTCAAGACAAGGTTTGGGGCTAATTTAAGTAATGTAACTGACATGACTGGATCCACAAGAAAGGAGTACTCCACGGGTCACAGTAATTACCCAAAGAGTTGCTCAAGACACACTGTTCCATTTAACTATGTTATGGGAACTACAAAGATAGTCACCACCTTAACGAAGCTTACAATAGAGGAGAGAAAGTAAGCAAAAATAATACAACTAGAGTAAAAGTTCACATAATACAAAAAATACAACGGAGAACACGGACCGGTAGGATCCGAGCAGGAGAAAAGGGAATTTCTGCGGGCAGAGCAAATCACGGAGAATCAAGAACGGGGGAGAATTCAGTTTGTCTGGATGAATTAAAGGAAGAGGAACAAATAGAGCTTCAAGATTAGAAGGTTGCGGGTGGCACGTCACAAAACCAAAAACCAAAAACCTCCTGCCCCACATCACCTTCCGCTGAGGCACAACCTGGCCAAGAGAACCTGGAGGCATGAGGTTAATCAACCCTGTTTGATTTTACAGCCCAGGTCATTATTCTTCCAGATCAAAAGCATCCCCGGTGGGGATGAAGCGATTTCCCCCAGGTCAGCACGACCCCGTCTCTCTCCCCGAGCCGGTGGCCGGCACACCTGCCGGAACCTCCTTCACCAGCCGCTCCAGGCTCCGCGGCTGCCCCCGCCGAGCCGCCTCCCTCTCCCGGAGACCACGGTGTCCTCTCCCCGGGGCTCCCTCCGACCCGGCCGAGGCAGCGAGGGCACCGCGGGAGCGCGCCGCCGCCGGGCGTTACCCCACTAACCGTTATGCGCGGCTCGCGGTGCCGACCGCGTGCGTGACGCGGGGGCGCGGAGCGGAGCTCAGCTCCCTCGGGACCACCCAGCTCACGCCGCGGGAGCTCTCCAAACTCTTTTGGGTAGTGGGCGCCGCTGCCTCATATATACCCAGCGGGGCCGAGCATGCGCAGAAGGGGCGGAGTCCGCCCTCCCGGCCGTCGCCCCCACCCTCCAACGAGCGGCCCCCACACGACCGCGGGCTTCGGCTCCAGGTCCCGCCACACGTTCCCCCGCAATATCGCGGTGACTTCCACGTGTGCGCGACACCAACGACGCCGTCAGCCTCAGTTTCTGGCGGAGAAAAGGGAAAAGCCGCGAAGGACAGATGGGGCGTGCCCCCTGGGGCCTGACTCAGGTGTGGGGGGCGATGGGCGCGCGGAGGAGCCGGGAAGCGAGTGGAAGTGGAGGGACTGGGCAGGGTTTGAATGGACGCGGGCGCCTCGGAATTGTGGTCTCGCCGCTTGAGTTCACTGACCTTAGAGAAGTCACTCAAGCCCTCCGGGCCTGTTTTCTATTCTCTGAAGTGACAACACTAATGGAACCGACCTCATAGGCGCTTTGGGTGATTTTGCGAAGAGAAATAGGGAACTTGCCTGTGGGCTTTGATGACTAGTACGTATTATTAAACATAGAAATTGGGAAAGAAGAGCAGGTCAGAGGGTGGCGAGAATGATTCCAAGGGGGAGGACATGGAGAAATGAGAATGCAGAGAGGCCAAATTTTTTTGGACGCTAAATGTGTGGAACAGGATATAATTATAGCTAGCAGTTTCGGGGGGACTGATTACATGCTAAGCAATTCACCTGAATCCTCACAGCCCTGTGAAGCAGGTACTATTGACATTTTACAAATAAAGGACCTGAGAGGCTCAGAGAGGTTAAGCAACTTGCCGGAGGTCACAGAGCTAGCAATAGCCAGCATTTGAAGTCTGATGTCAGAGCTTGATTTTATCAGAAGAGTCGCTGTAGGCTCTTGAGCAAGTCCAGATACCAAAGTGTATCTGTTAAAGTTATTAAATAATCTTGACTTTTAAGAAAGACCAAATGACTTTTAAGAAAGACCAAAAAAGTATGTCAAGGCCCCTGTCTTCCAAGAAATTACAAGTTCTTTGAGGAGACTGAGGTACAAATGAGCCAACATTAGTTGAGCAGTTGCAGCATGCCAGGACTCTGTCCTACCTCTCAACCCCACCGGACACACACACACACACACACACACACACAATTAATTCTTGCAACAACCCTGTGAGTAGGCCTTAAGTTTTTGTTTTGCAAATGAAGAATCTGAGATTGAGGACAAGTGGGGTTTGGGGAATCAGGTCCTGAGGGGTCTCATGTGCTTTCCTATCACCCACTCTGCCTCTTGTTTCACAGCCAAGTTTTCAATCAGTTCAATGTGTTAGTAAAAGAGGGTGTAGAATCTATGGCCAAGTACTGCTTATGAGCAATAACTGCTTTTTACCTTTGATAAATACAGAGAAGGAGGGCACTTCAGGTCGTTGGGGTGGCCAGGACTTAGAACAGCAGTGCTTAGGATTGTTAGGGTGGCAGCAGCAGTCACGGTAGATGGTAGAGAGTTGAGTTAGGGAGACAGAGTTGGCATGAATTTATAAGGGCAGTGGAAAGAGGTAGAACAAGGTGATTCCCAGGAAACTTCTAAAGAAGGCTTATAAAACAGCAATATGGTGGGTTCAGAATATGGATTCAGGAGCCAGATTGCCTAATTTCCAAAAAACAAAGTACCTAATTAGGGTTGTTATGGTAATAAAAGTAGTGTTGAAGCCCTTGAACAGAGCGTAGCATATAGCAAGTTCTGAATATGTATTTGTTAAAAACAAATAAATAGAAAAGAAAATTAAGAAAACAATTCCATTTACAATAGCATCCAAAAGAATAAGATACCTAAGGATAGATTTAATTAAGGAGGTTGCAAAGAGTTTAGGCAACTGTACAGTCTGAGGAAACAGTGCCTATAAAACTGCCCTTACTTCAGACACCAGCTACAAGTTTGGGGTCTCCAGGGCCACCCTCACTTCAGACCATCTGGCCGTAAGGCCAAATCTGGGAGCGTTCCAAATTCGAAGTTCTGTTTGTCCTCTCCCTGTGGAGTCCTGGATGCTGTTACCTCCTCCCAGCTATCATGTAGGAAGATGCTCAAGGAGTTTTGCCAACCAGGGAAGGTTGCTCAAGCCCTGGTGTCCAGCATTTTGTTGAGGCTTCATTATTTGGCATGAGTCATCGCCCATGTGATTGAACTCAAATCTCCAGCTGCCCCCTCCCCTCCATGGATGTTGGGCTGTTATCATGTGACACAAAGCCCTTATTCTTCAATCACATGATTGGTCTTTCTGATATTGCCAGCCCCTACCCTGAGTCATTTTGTTAGCATAAACTGTGAATAGGCCCACCATGAGACACCTCATTAATGTATGCTATCAGAGTTGGTCTGAGGGACCCACCTTGAATTATAGAGACACTGTTATCACTTGGGAAATTGCAGAGGTTTAGAAGTCACCTCCCAGGAGCTTGGACAAAGGCAAGAACTCTCTTTAGATGAGTCTAATTTCCTTTCTACAGAAAGTTGAAAGACTTATACACTGAAAACTACAAAATTTGGTGAAAGAAATTAAAGAAAACCTAAATAAATGGAAAGACATCCAGTTCACGTATTGGAAGATTTAATGTTGTTAAGATGGCAATACTACCCACCATGATATACAGATTCAATGCACTCTCTATTAAAATGCCAACAGCTCTTCTTGCAAAAGTGGAAAAGATGATCTTCAGATTCATATCGGATTGCACAGGACCCTGAATAGTCAAAACAATATTGAAAAAGAGCAAAGTTGGAGGATTCACACTTCCTTATTAAAAAACTTATTAAAAAGCTACAGTGATCAAAACAGCATGGTACTGGCATAAGGGTAAATATATAGACCAATAGAATAGAATTGAGAGTCCAGAAATAAACTCATAAATCTATGACCAATTGATTTCTGAAAAGAGTGCCAAGACCATTCAATGGGAAAAGAAGAGTCTCTTCAACAAATAGTGCTGGGACAACTGAATATCCATATGTAAAAGAATGAAGTTGCACCCCTACCTCACACCATATACAAAAATTCACTGACATAGATTAAATGACAACCTAAATGTAAGAGTTAAACTATAGAACTCTTAGAAGAAAGCATAGGGTAAGTTGTAATGACCTTGGATTTGGCAATGGATTCTTAGATACAGTACGAAAAGAGGAGCACAAAAGAAAAGGTAGATAAATTAGAATTCAACAAAATTAAAAGCTTTTGTGCATTGAAGGATATTATCAAGAAAGTGAAAAGACAGCCTACTGAATGGGAGAAAATATTTGCAAATCAGGATCTAATATCCAGAATATAGAAAGAACTCTTATAACTCAACAACAAAAAGATAATCCAATTAAAAAATGAGCATAGGACTTGAATAGACATTTTCCAAAGAAAATATGTAAATGGCCAAAAAGCACATGACAAGATGCTCAACATTATTAGATATTAGAGAAATGCAAATCAAAACCACAAGATGCTGAGAACCAATATTTTAAAGGCTTTTAAATGCATTTCCAATATTTTTCCAGAAAGATTTTAACAATTTATAGCCTCATCAGTAATACGTAAGCATGCTTATCTCACCATGTCCTTGCTAATAATATGCATTAACGTTTTTTCATATCTTACTAACTTGGAAACTAATAGTTACGTAAGTTTTCATTAGTTAGATTAGCTGTGAAGGTAAAATGTTTTTTCATGCTATGCCATTTGTGGTTCTTACTTTATAAACCAGCTATTCCAGTCTTGTCCTATAGACATAAAAATAGAGCCACATATTTAAGTTTGAATTTTCCAGTAGTCACAATAAAAAAAAGTATACAGAAATGTGGAAAATTAACTTTACTAATTTAGTCTGCTTAGCACAATTACCATTTCAACATGTATTTAATATAAAAATTACTAATGAGAAATTAAAAATTTTTTCATGCTAAAAAAAAAAAACCCACAAGATGCTGCTTCACACCCACTAGGATGGCTATAATGATAATAATTTTTTTTTAAAGGTGAATAAGTATTGGCAAGCATGTGGAGAAATTTGAAACCTGGTACATTGCTGGTGGGGTTATAAAATCATACAGCCACTGTGGAAAACAGCTTGGCAGTTCCTCACAAAGTTAAATATAGAATTACCATATTATCCAGTGATTCTACTTCTAGGTATATACCCAAAAAATTGAAAATAGGTATTCAAACGAATACTTCTACAGGAATGTTCATAGCAGCACTATTCACAATAGTGAGAAGTTGGAAACAATCCAGTGTCCATCATTGGATACATGGATAAACAAATGTGGTATAGCCACACAATGGAATATTATTCAGCCATAGAAAAGAATGGAGTACAAATACATGCTGCAGCATGGATGAACCTAGAAAATATTACGTTAAGTGAAAGTAGCCAGACACAAAATGTCAAAAATTATATGATTCCATCTTATGAAATATTGAGAATAGGTAGATCTACAGAGACAGAAAGCAGATTAGTGGTTGCCAGGGGCTGGAGGTTAGGGGAAAAGAGAGTGAGTGCTTAATGGGTATGGAGTTTTCTTTTGGAGTAATGAAAATTATTTGGAACTTGATATAGGTAGTAGTTGCACAACATTGTGACTATTTTAAATACCACTGAAATGTATACTTTAAAATGGTTAACTTTATGTTATATGAATTTACTCAGTAAATAAGCCAAATGAATAAATATGGAGAAGCATTTTCCATGAACTTAATGAAGTTTACTGTATGTATTCATAGGATCATATCTAATTTTGTAATTGTAACTTTATATTCTTGTCTTAGAGCCATTGTGGTAGTCAGAATAAGTGCACCCACCCCCCAAGATGTCCATGTCTTAATCCTTGGAACCTGTGAATAAATTATATTACTTGATGAAGAGGAATTAAGGTTGCAGATGGAATTCAATTTGCTA